GTGCTGAAAGGAGAGGAGAAATATTGGGTTGATCACAGCAGAAGATTACCTCAGATTTGGGCCACAATTTTGGTGCAAGCATGCTGGAATCTGGCACTCAACAAATGAATGTATTGGCATGTGCCAACCTTTTTTAATTTGTCACAGGAAGCACTAATTACGCAGCCATTTATAAATTGGACAATTTATAGCTATTATTAACACATTTCTATCTATAAAAGACACCGAAGGTCCTGTTCACATTAGCTGCAAAGTAAAACGTGGCTTTTTACCATGTACAGTGAACATGCTTTGCAGAGGCGACAAATTGCGTCCCTGGCATCAGCTCCTGCCAGCTGCTTAGCAAGCAGAGCGGGCGCGGAGATGTGTATGCTGTGTATGTGTAGATGTGTATGCACCACTGGCCAGAGTGTCCGAGGTTGCTAAGATCTGAGTGAGGAGATGTGTAAGGGCCATACACATCTTTCTGCCCAGCTTTTAGCAACCTGGGACACTCTGGCTGGTGTCTTGTCCGCATACACATCTCCCCGTCCGCTCTGCTTGCTAAAAGGCAGATGGGGAGATGTGTATGGCCCTTACACATCTCTACGGCCAGCTCTTAGCAACCTGGGACACTCTGGCCAGTGTCCTGTCCGCATACACATCTCCCCACTTGCTCTGCCTTCTAAAAGGCAGATGGGACATGTGTATGGCCCTTATACATCTCTCCAGGCCAGCTCTAGCAATCTGGGGCACTCTGGGGCAGAGATGTGTATAGGAGAGCAGTGGAGAGGGAAAAATCAGCTATCTCTGCAGGTTTGCAAACTTTGGTTGTTGGTCTAGTGTCCAGTGGTGTATCCAAGGTGCCAAGTTTCCAAGGTGTGAGCCATAACGCCTTGTATTGTAACAAGGCAGGGCACTGTTTACCTTTTTTTTAAATTAGCTTTGTATGAAGTGTACTCTTGATTTAAGATCAGGGCCCCCCCAGCACCATAGAACAAATAACGAACTGACATATTCCTGATTGGCCAGGAAGCCGGCTCCATGCTCCCTTGTCACGAGGGAGCATTGAGCCGGCTTCCCGACCAATCAGAAAGCCGGGCAGCGTGTAATGACTCGCTGCCCGGTTTCCTGATTGGCCAGGAAGCTGGCCAATCAGGAAGCCGGGTGCCGTGTAATGACGCGGTGCCTGGCTTTCTGATTTTCCGGGAAGCCGGCTTCATACTCCCTCATCACCTCATGATGAGGAAGCATGGAGCCGGCTTCCCAGCAAACCAGGAAGCCGGGTGCCGCGTCATTACACGCCGCCCGGCTTCCTGATTGGCCAGAAAGCAGGCTCTATGCTTTCTCGTTACCTAGTGACGAGAAGCATGGGGACAGCTGCCCTGCTAATCAGGAAGCCAGGTCGCGAGTCTTTAAACACCGCCCGGCTTCCTGGCTTATCAGGAAGCCAGGTGTTGAGTCATTACATGCTGCCTGGCTTCCTTAAAGAGACTTCCGGTATCGGTATCAGCGAGTACCGGAAAAAAATATATCAGTACTCGTAATCGATACCAAGATACCGGTACATCCCTAGCAATTGGTAATAAATGGTACAGCAATAGAGAGCCTCTGCCACAAATCTGAGCCTCTTATGTGCCCTTGCTTTGATGTTAGGAAAAAGTCCGGGCAGCCCTGCGTCACATCTGACCTCAATATTAATACATGTAGGTCAGTTATTAATAGCGCCGGAACAGCCATCTCACTTTTTCCCTACATACTATCCTGTGATGGATTGTAAATCACACTGTCTATGACTCAGCAGTTCCTCATGTAAGCTAAGACTGGAGGATGACATACACAGGCCTGGATAACAACACAAGGCCGGCCTATGTACATCGTCATGTCTAAAGGAATCATGGGAGTGTCACATGACTATGACGGGGCCCTTTTAGGGGGGTGTGAGTTCATGGAAAGTTTCCTGCTGTTGAATCACCTGCAGCGCCTGTTACATAAAACTACTACGAGGAGGGATCACAGAGGCCTAACATGACTAAGCAATCAATGCTGTACAATCCCGTCACTGTCCCGCAATGGCTGCAAACCTCTTTATTACTGTTTCATTTTTACTTAATTATTATTGAGTTTGTTTCTGCATTTGACACTCTATTAAATAATTATGTACACAAGAAAATGTTCAAATGTAATTATGTAACTTTTTAAAAGCGGAACTGCAGGAATGATATTTTATGGAAACTTAAATTTGTCCAGCTTTGCTCAGTGTATGTGATCTCTGGTGGGGTGCTGGGGATACTTTATTAGTCAGCGTTCCATACAGTCAGCGCTGATCTCTTCTGGCGGCTCACTGAGCACAGGGGGTCCCTTGCTGAGCACCGCTGCCATGATGAACACTTTGAGGGGGAATTTATCATAACTGGAGTAGAAATAATCTGGAGCAGCTGCCCATGGTAACCAATCAGCTTCTATATTTCATTTTCCAAGATGAACTAAACAAAGTGAAAAGAGATGCTGAATGGTTGCCATGGGCAACTGCTCCAGATTCTATCTGCTCCAGTATTGATACATTCCCCTCAAGGTGTTCATGAATGGCGGTGGAGCCCAGATAGCGACTCCCTATACTCAGTGTGCAGAGGAGAAGCCAGCAGCAGAGACCTGCGCTGACTGTATGGAACGCTGATTAATAAAGTCATTTGTAGCATCCCCAGCACCCCACTAGAGATCACATATGGATACTTACACTGAGCCAAACTCAACCAATGTAAGCTTCCATAAAAGATCATTCCCAAAGTTCCATTTTAGAAAACATTACATTTGACCAGCATAAAATCTGCCTTCCCAGGGTAGCCCCACTGCAAGGGGTAACTTTTGAATATCCTGGAATTCTTCTGTAAAGTGTATATCTAGGAAAAAGATTCACCTGCTCCATGTGTCCTGCTAACCTTTGTCACCAAATTGAAAGAGGGAAAATGCCAGATGTGTTGTCCCCAAAAGAGCTGGGGAAATCTTCAGGGGAGAAATGAGATGGGAATCCCCCTAACTTTGAGAGATTTCCTCTAACTTCCTGTTGCATCTTTGGGACAGGAAGTGAAGAGAAATATCCCCAATGGTGCACAAACAGCAAATAAACTGGCAGGGGATATGACTAGGGATGCACCAACACTGCTTTTTTGATATCGGGTACCGATATTTTTTCTTCCGGTACTTGCCGATACCGAATACCGATACCGGCATCCGATACCAGTCATGACCCTCCGTCTGGCTTCCTGATTGCCTGGGAAGCCGGTGTTCTATTGAAAGAACACCGGCTTCATGTTCCAAGGCAGTCTGGCTTACTGACCAATCAGGAATCCGGGCGGCACATCATGACCTGCCTCTTTAATTGGCTAGAAAACCGGCTTCACTTGTTGCTAGGCAGCCTGGCCAATCAGGAACCTGGGCGGCACGTCATGACCCATCTCCCTGATTGGCTAGGAAGCCGGATTCACTTGTTGCTAGGCAGCCTGGCTTCCTGACCAATCAGAAAGCCAAGTGGCACATCATGACCAGCTGCCCGGCTTCCTCATTGGTCAGGAAGCCAGGCTGCCTAGCAACAAGTGAAGCTGGCTTCATAGCCAATCAGGAAGCCAGGGGGCTGTTCATGACCCACCGCCCGGCTTCCCGATTGGCCAGGAAGCCGGCTCCATGCTTCCTTGTAGCACTGCTGGTCAGAGGGAATTTCCCTCTGACTGGTAGTTCGGGTATCAAGGTTGGTATCGGAGTATTTGGGTGAGTATGAATACTCGCCCAAATACTCGGTATCGGCACTGATACTAGTATCATTATCGGTTCATCCCTAGTCATAACCCTCCCCTACTATATATAAAACTGAATACAAAGTGTTGGCTGTTCATGCATTTAAAGACCACCCACAACTAGGGGAATCCCAATGTTCCTGTTATTTTTGTCTTAAAGTAGAACTGAAGCCAAAACTTTTTTTTATTATATTTGGATTGAGTAAGAGAGGGGTATAACCCCTGTCAGGTTTTGTTTTGCCATCTGTGTCTCATTGGAAATATTTCCCTTCATTCCCTGTCTTATAGCCACAACAGGAAGTGAGAGAAAATCCATCCAAAGAGAGGAATATTCCTGGTGGTCAGCAGTCACCAGAACTAGTGTCCCCATTGGAAGATTTTCCATCTATTCCTGTTCTAATGCATTGGCGTCACATGGGGGGTGCGGCCCGCACCCGGGTGACACCATTGGAGGGGTGACACCAAAATGACTGAGTCATTTTGGTGTCACCCCCCTCTGAAATGTCGGGTGCTCGGTCATGGACCGAACGCCCGACAGTATCAGGAGAGAGAGGAGGGGACCCGGCGGCATACCTTATCCCGCCGGGTGACTGTCCCCTCCTCTCTCTGCCGGCGTCCACCACCAAGATGGCCGCCGGCAGGTATCAGAATACTGCCGCGCGTGCGCGATGACGTCATCGCGCACACGCGTGGTGACGTCACGCGCATGCGCAGTGACATCTTGGCTGGGTGACACTCGGTTATCGCTCTGGGTGTCACCCAGCCTCGGGACGCCCCTGTTCTGATGACAACCCAAATTCTGGGACTTTAATTCACTTTCAGTGATCATGTTCTCCAGGATCAGAGAGAGGATGAATCTTCTTAATTGGACACAGAAAGCAATGTAAACCTGATGGGTGTTGTGGTCCCTCTCCACTCTATTCTTGCACTGGTAAAAACTGGAATTACAATTATAATATTCCCTGCATACAGGTCACGATAGTTCATCATCAGATCCCAGTGATTGCTCGATGTTTCTAGAATCCGGCCGTCACTCGCCTCCCTACCGGAGGAATCCCTCGTTGTTATGCTATGTCATCGTGACATCACACAGCACATTCCAGTGTCATACGAGAACGGTGTGTCGGCGTGGTTTGCCATAAAAGAACCCCGGGTGGGCGTGGCTGCATCCTGGACTGGCAGGATACAGTGTGGGCGGGGCCAGGCCTGCAGTGGTGGGCGGGGTGATAAGGCAGCGACCGGTGGGCGGGGACTTTGCGTAGAAGCTGTTTATATGCGGAGATCTCCGGTCACTGGAGATCAGTCACGGGATTCGGAGAGTAGGTTGTGTTCTGTGTACGAGAACTGACATTTCCAGCTGCGACATCCATCCAGGAAGAGACTATAGCACAGCCGCCGCCATGTCGGTCACCGTGAAAGCATATCTGCTGGGAAAAGACGAGATCCATAAGGAGATCAGGCGATTTGCTCTGGAGCTGGGCAATGGCAAGTCCGCTGCACCAACCTCCAGCTGTGAACTGCTGATCAGGAAGGTGACGGAAGTCTTCCAAGGCCTGAGAGGAGGATTCTTCCAGATGTTCTACAGAGGTAAGCTGTGACCCATCTACACATAATCTCGCTCTGTCTCTTCATGTCATCATCTCTAGTTTTATTGGAAGACATTAAATTGTAAAGTATCTTCTCTTCTCTTTAGAACAGTGACTAATATGGGGGGCTGCAGAAGATCACTGGCTTGGCTTGTTTACATCACATGCGTTGGTCATCGCATAGACCAGGCAACAAGTCTTGTTTAGTATTGTCACAGTTCACATACATTAATCTACAACAGGGGTAGGCAGCCATGGCACACCAACTGTCATGAAACTACAACTCTCATCATGGCTCTGCCACTGGGAATCATGCCTGTTGCGTTAATTCTTGCACTGCCTCATGGGACTTGTAGTTCAACAACAGCTGGCGTGCCAAGATTGCCTACCCCTGAGCTACATAGACCAGTGTGCCCTGCTCACGCAACGCTGTGTTGAGGTTGGTTGTGGTGCATAACAATGCAGACATGCTGCCTTCTCTTGAGGCTTTGCTGCTATGCCTAGATGCAAATAAAGTGTCATTTGTGACATTTCAATAAAGTTTTAAAGTGAAAACGCACCTCAGCGCCACTACACAAGGGACACCAGGCTGCATATAATTACACCACGCTGTGAACCTATGGGACGCAAAATGCCTTGTATGTGTGTTGGGACTGCGCTGGGCAAGGCTATACGGTGTAAACAGGAAGTAATGTGAGGAGATCTCCCCTCCACCAATCACAGAGCACCTTATAGTCTGTGCAAAGAATGCAAGACGTTTTCTCAGTGGACGAGCTGCAGAGCGAACGACCTGCCGCGATCTGTGTACTGTTCTCGCGTCGGGTGCTCGCCACTGAATGTACTGTACAGGGGAAATGAAAGCGTATTATATAGCACAGCAGTGGCCACACATCGCACGCACTACATTAGTCTTCATTTAGTTTGACAGAGCAAATGGTCACAAATAGTTTTTGGCTGGAGTTCAGCTTTAAGGGCTAAAGCTTTGTACACAAGGAGCGAATTTTGGGCAGTACAGCAGGAATCGGCCGAAATTCGCTCCGCGTGTACCCAGCTTTAGCCTTTCAAGCTGAACTCCAGCCAAAAACTATTTGCTCCGTTGGTGACCCTATTCCCTTGTTGGAAGTTGATCATTAGATTGACTTCTGCCAAAGCAATATGTTGGAAATTCATTGGCTGAAGAAGGCTTGCAGCTGACAGTGGCCGGCGCCGCTGTCGGAATACAAAGCTCACAGTGGGAGATTCACCCACTCGTACTGTTCAGCATTGATAGAGGAATCTGTTATATTTCCTTCACTCAGCCCGCAGTACTTTCCTGACACTGTGACAGATAAGGAGTTAGTAACTCCATAGGAAATCTCTATGACATTTTGGGGTCTAGCTAAACAAAAAGTAGGGGGATCGCTGGGAAGAAACCACCTCTGTGACCTCTAACGTAATCTCCAAAAAATGTAATGGAGCAACCTGTATTTTAAATGCTCCAAAAGCAAACCAAATATAATTACACCCACTGAAAGGAATGTGCCCTTTTGCTGTTTGTTTTCGCGTCGCTTGGGTGTGACCGGTGCGGTAAGACAGTGTGTCTAGGGCAAAGGTAGCCCCACACAACCAGCAAGGTGGGTTAATCTTTTCCTAAGAGAACATAGTGCAGATGAAGGGGGAGGGGGGAAAGGGATAAATACATATTAATGCAAAATGGATACTAAAGCTTGTGAAAACCACAGAGATGTGTACAGTTTTCAAACACTTTTATCATTAAAGCCCAGCTCCGCATTTAAAAACATCTACCTTTGTAATGGGGCTACCCCCAAGCTGCAAGGGTAATTGCTCATTTTTGTATTGTGAAGCACTTATACTGACCTGATCCCGCTGGCTCTAAGACTGGCTCCCCCAGCCTCGGACCAATCCCCCGGGTGCTTGGAGGCTCACTGACCTTATCACATACATTGCAGTGTCATTAGACCTGAGGCACAATCCACAAGCTGGAAGGGAGTGAGGTGACTGTTGACCACAAGGGGCGTGGGGATCATGTAAGTAAATTTTCAAAAAATATATGGTTTGGGGGGTCTTTTACAAACGCTAGCAACGCAGCAGTTGAAAATCAAACCAATAGGAAAAAATTGCAGAAAATTCAAAAATGGCTTGGCCAGCTGATTTGAAAAATGTTCCGGAGGGCTTGGCAGCGAAAGGGTTAAAGAATCCCCCTAGACAAAAATGAGCAGCTAAGCCTTGGCGTATGGTGATAGCTCCACTGCAGGGGTCGTTTTTTGGAGATTGGCTTTGAAATTTAAAGTGATACTAAACTCAAGAGTTAAATTATAAAACTGCATTTAGGTACCTTTTTTACTATTAACAAAAATGTATCTTATTTGTGTCTCACTCGGCTGTAGATCCCCAAATCATCTCTGAATTGGTGCTGACACTGTACTTCCTTCTGGAGCAGGGATGGCCAAACTGCGGCCCTCCAGCTGTGGTGGAACTACAAATCCCATGAGGATTTGCAAGATTCTCACAGACATGACTCCTGGAGAGAGATGCTTCATGGGATTTGTTGTTTCACCACAGCTGGAGGGCCTGAGTTTAGCCATCCCTGTTCTGGAGGGTGGCTACTTTTGTTCCCCATGGTCCCTGTGTGTGTTGTAAAGTAGCCACCGCTCCAAGCTTGCTCCTGTGATGGACTATAATGTCAATACAAATTGGTAAACTAAATGTGAGGGACCCCTTTCCCTGTGACCGCTGTCTAAGAGAAGATTTCCCTTACCTTAACACATCCTGTTGTGTCTGGAGACAGAATGTGAGGGAAAATCTCCCAGAAATACAATTTTCTGGCTTTATATACACCTTAATTACACCTAGTGGTTGGGCTGGTGTCCCCAATCCCCGGGGCGTGGACCAGTACCGATCCGTGGTCTGTTAGAACTGGTAATACGAAATCACCTGCACTCCATACAGCATGCAGACCTTAATGGAAGGTTGGCGCTTGAAGTGACAACATGGATGGCGCCGTGTCAGATACAGTCCATAACAGAAGTCACCTGCACTCGATGATATGTGCAAGTAAAGCACTTTTTATTAAATTGTCACATGTCATACAGCCAATATTTCGGGGCCACACATGGTCCCTTCTTCTGGGCGACACAGTGGCCCCAAAACGTTGGCTGTATGACACATGTGACAATTTAATAAAAAGTGCTTTACTTGCACATATCATCGAGTGCTGGTGACTTTTTTATTATGGACTGTTAGGAACTGGGCCGCAGCATGTCAGAATCCAATCACTCCACCTTATACAAGTTTCTATTCCTTACATTGCTCAGCAATGTAAGGAATAGTAACCTGTAGGGATGCACCGATACTGGGCATTTTCACGAGTACTCATACGTGCCGTGAAAATGCCCTGATGCCAAAAACTGATACCGGCCCTTTTCATTTTTCAAATTGAAATGGCTGCCTTAGGTCCCACGCTTGCTGGGGACCTCGTGGGAGCCTTCTGGAAAACCACACAAGGCCTGTTTACAGCGCTTCCGTTGGCCTACGCATTTCCCCCTCCTGGTCTGTGGAAAAACATTCTTCCACAAAACTGGCCCAAAAGTTTGGGGACCGCTGCTATAAAGGACACTTGCCTCCAGTAAAATGCTGGCTGTACATGAACGACAAATGATTGCTTATAGATGGGATTCTTTTGTACATTCATTTGATGTCATAAAGGAATCTGTCCTGATAGAAGTAGGGAATTCTGGCACTATCCTCCATTTCCTTCCTCTCCAGATCTTATATATATATATATATACACAAATGTATATTTATTTGTGTTTTCAGATGAAGAGGGAGACCTGGTTGCCTTCTCCACCGATGAGGAACTGAATATGGGCCTTGAAATCCTTAATGAAGGCGTTTTTCGTGTCTACATTAAAGGTATCTTTGAAACGCATCAAAAAGGACACAAAACGTGCTATGAAGGTGTGTTGTAATCCATAAAAACTCAACATGAGTTCTTACCATCTGCTGTACCAGCAAATTGGACATTTTTGGGACAAAATGATTACAATAAATTGATTTGATATGTTGGTGGCTTTTAAACGGTTTATTGAACTTACAATTGTATAAAAGTACATTCTGTAAATATTGACTCTGAGCATACAAAGTCATCTGAATAGAAATATTCTTAGAACACAAATCTAAATCAATGGCCAGCTCCTTTCACAGGTATGTATTACAAAGAGATACACATATTTTATATATTGTAGTTGGTACAATGGACGTGGGTTGGTCAGACTGAATTTAGTTACAGCACAGGTCATAAACTTTGTGAACTTTGACAAGACACTTTTGTATTCTCATACATAACCTTTTATAAGAGATGATCTGACTAATGATTTCTACTGAGCTGCCAATGGGGAGGATGGGTTCATAAAATATCTATTAAAATATTTATTAGTACTATGCTTTTTATTTTATGGTTCCCTTAAACACAGACATATGTTCTGTTACAAGATATATAATCATATCATTTGATTTTCAGAAAGGAAAGACTGTAAACGTGAGCACCGTGCACACTGCGGACAGGAGACTCCTCAGAATGTGGTCCACCCTAATGTGACCTGCGATGGATGTGAAGGCCCTGTGGTGGGGAACCGGTACAAGTGCCTGATTTGTCCAGATTATGACCTGTGCAACACCTGCGAGGGGAAAGGAGTCCACAAGGAACACAACATGATTATGTTCCCTACTCCCATTGTAAGCAATAATGTGTATAGCATATAGCACAGCTAATACACTATATGGAAGCCAAACTAAGTGAACCTGTACTTTGTACTAATACAATCCTTCACCAGTCTGTCAAAGTTTTGTATGTAAGTTTGACATGCGGAGCAAACTATACACTTGCATAGGGACTGTGCATGCTCCCACATGATGGCTGTCTGGCCTTGCAATTGGCTGCTTTGGCAACAGCCACAGCATTGAGGAAGGATGGGAGGTTGCCACATATTCCACCATACCCAGAAGTACTGGGTGTTTGTGGGCAGGCTGGTGGTGGAATGGCTTGGTAGTGGAGCAAATGAAGGTCAAGTACTTTAGACCCTGTAGCGTAAAGTGAAGCTGTATATGGGCATACCATAGGTTGACTTTCATGTGCCTCATGAAATGTGAGGATGCTGGATACCTCCCTGGCAATGCTAATGTTCTGTGAGGCGCACATAATCTGCAGGCCAGCATTCAGGACCCCAAATGTCTTTATGCCTTTTATATCTGGAATCCCAAATCTGTTACAGATGCTCCTTTGAGGTCCCAGGACAATGTCCTATTGATATTGGGCTTCTCATGTTAAAAATAATGAGCACCACTAGTATGTCATAGACTTGTAGATTTCTCATAGACCTAATGAGATATGTATAACTTATCCTTAGGGCGTCTGATCGCACAGTGATTTGGATACAGCGATGGCAGAAAATAAAATTGTCTGTTATTGTACATAAAATGTTTCTATAAAATAATAGATCCTGGTTTACTATATAATGTGGGTCTACACTCTTGGTGTGTACATCCAGAAGTCAATGTGTATCTTTCTTTGCTGTGTTGCTGATATGATGTTTGTTTTCTCTCCAGCCTTTTCCTCGTGGGCGCTGGTTCCGCAAGATGCACCACGGAGTGCCACCTTTCAACTGGATGCATGGCTGGGGTTACCCTGGCAGAGGCTTCCACTGCCCAAACTCCCAGCAAGCAGAGTGTGCTGCACCACAAAGTCAGACTGCACCCGAAGAAGGTAAATCTCTATAACGAAAGCTTTTTCTTTTCATATCTGTAACTGTAGGGACTTGTCTATAGGTTTGTAAACTGTATGTCTTATTTATTCCACTAGGTACTGCTCCTAGTTCTTCTCAGCCATCTCATGATCCCAACGTTGCCTTCTTGCAAAATGTTGGTGAAAGCGTGGCAGCCATGTTGAGTCCCCTTGGTAAGTTCTTTAAAAAAAAATATATATATATAGTGAAACTCGAATAATTAGAATATCGTGCAAAGTTCATTTATTTCACTAATGCAACTTAAAAGGTGAAACTAATATATGAGATAGACTCATTACATGCAAAGCAAGATAATTCAAGCCGTGATTTGTCATAATTGTGATGATTACGGCTTACAGCTCATGCAAACCCCAAATCCACAATCTCAGAAAATGAGAATATTACATGCAATCAATAAAACAAGGATTGTACATAGCACAATATCGGACCTCTGAAAAGTACAAGCATGCATATGTACTCAGTACTTGGTTTGGGCCCCTTTTGTAGCACTTACTGCTATTACTTTTGCATGATATTCTAATTATTCGAGTTTCACCTGTATATATAGAGGCTGGCATTGCTGATCTTCTAAAAAGGTGTTTCCTCTCACTCTTTCCACCTGCTTTACCTCCCTACACATCTCCTTATCCTATCCCCACCCTCTCTACCGCTCCTGGCACATTGCTGCCTCCACACCCACCCTCTGTTTCTTTCTAGGTCTAAGCCTCCCCTGCTACTCTCCCTACAGTTAGGGGTCCAGGCTTGTTAGTCCTGGTCATCTATACCTTCTACTCACCACTTATGCACATTTTCCCTCCCCAGTCCCAGGTTGTTTAACTCAAGTTACACCATTGACATGACTGCGGGGCCTTCTGTTTTTGGGCGCTTGTTTATGGTTTTAACCGTCCCTTAAAAGTGTTTTCTAATGTTTACATATCTTTTCTGCACATCCCAGAACTGTATACGTATGTGTGTAACAATTAAATGTTTAAAACTTTTCTGGAACAGAAAGGTGCTGTTTGTCTGTTATTTTGACCTTCTTGCATTATTACTTCCTGAGGCTCTGACTCAGAACAAGTAGATTATCTGGAAAGTCAGAGTAAATCATTCTGGATTGGCGGCTCAAAGTCTTAAAGCAAGAATGTCGGCATAACAGCCAGGCAGCTGGCAATCGCAGATTGGGTAGCCAACAATGGCAGCCTCCATGTTCCTTACTGACCTGTTAGATCTGATAATAGACATATAACTGCCTACCCTCCCCCTAATTCTTCTTTGCTACCCATGCAGGAATCGATGTAGACATTGATGTTGAACATGGTGGTAAACGCAGCAAGATTGCAACCCCACAGACTGGTTCTGAAGCTAGAGATTCCCAACCAAACAGCTCATCCTTCACCTCAAACCCACAGAACGGTGACAGCAGACCTGAAGTCAGCCCTGACTCTATGGATACAGATTCCATTGCTAAACGGATGAAAGAAGTTTCTTTAAATCCCTCGTCCCAAAGTGAAAATGTAAGAGGTCCTTCGCTGTTCTTTAAGTAGGGAATACTTCCTTTACGTAGCTATAAATTATATTAGTGGTCAGGTTATGTGGCATGTTGGAAGACTAACACCATTTAATATATGGCTCCTCTTGACAGATAATTTTCATAGCCTAAAGGCCTCTGAATCTCTGTAAACTGATCAGTTATAATACTTGTTGATTGACCATGGCAAAGTGTACCGTGCCTTTGCCCCCCCCCCCCTATTATTAAACGGTAAATTAAAATTGTGCTGCTGCAGATAAAAAGAACAAGTGCTGTTCACGTTCACTGACTTGTTCTCCTTTTGTACAGAAAACACACAAATCCTTTCAGACTGTTATTGCAGTGTTATCACAAGTACACAGAGGGGGCTGTAGATGAGACTAGGGTGCTCTCTGGACCTTTGTGTGGGCTTGACACACTGCTTCTAAACTGGGTTTAGCCAGACTGATGAATAGATACTGCAGAGGAAGAAATGGTCTTCCTACTCATAGCTAAAAGCAACCGAATCATATCCATTTGGGTTGCAGTATGCCTGTAGACACTTGGGACCGTAATATTTGCAGGGTGATTCACAAAAGGGTGAACAGTTTGGCAGGAGACCTGAACAATATAGGACAACATAGCTGATTTGGAAAAAATCTCCAATTCAGCTCACTTTCCAGTTCAGCTATGTTGTCCTAGATTGCGCCCTTCTCCAAACTCTTCACCCTTTAGTGAATAACCCTGTAGGTATCCTTTGCAAGAAGTAGGTCTGTTGTCCTAAAAATGAATTGAGACCATACCATGTGTCAGATTCCTTACAATCCTTTTCTTGCATGGAGGTTCTTATATGTGAATGGTTTTTCAGACGTCAATTGTGTATAAATAGTTTGAATCATTCTCCTTTTTGCCCTACAGGAACAAAATGAACACAACAGCAGTGCTTCAGGTGGTGACGATGACTGGACTCACGTCACCTCCAAAGAAGTAGACCCGTCCACTGGTGAGCTGCAGTCCCTTCAAGAAGACACAGATGGGCCCAGTCCTTTAGACCCAAACAGATCCACTTGTGTTCCCACAGGTCTCAGAGAGGCTGCTATGTATCCACACCTTCCAGCAGGTAAAATGTCATTTTAAACATCCATTTTCTAATATATTTTAGGCAAATGGTTCACTATGGCAAACATGACATGAGTGACTAGCATTTTGCTATGAATTCACAGCTGAGACATGTTCTTTTGAAAATAACCCCATTACCACCAAGGGAGCTATAGATTGGTGCTGGCCTTGTATGCCTAGTTGCTGTTGAGGTCACTTAAGCCCCCCTAAGAAATCTGAGGATCCCAAATCTAGGAAGGAGTATTTCAACTTGGGATTGTTAGTCACACTAGTGGCACTAACCATATAAGGTTATATATGAGGCCAATATTTTACGGGGGCTTATTTTTAGGGATGCATCGATACCAGGTACCGTACTCCGTACAGATACTTTTCCAGCTCCAAGACTAGACTAGGGAAAAATTCAAAAGTTAGGAGGCGGCTGTCATTTGCAAGGAGCACACGGAGCTTCTGGGATTTGTACATCTCTGTTTTATTGTATGATTTTGTTTTATAAATAAACTAAGGGATGCACCGATGCCAGTTTTGCCAGTACTGGTACTTGCCCAAGTACTTACAAGTACGAGTACTGATACATTTTTGTTTATTGTCATGTGACAGTTTTTCTAAAACAATACAGACTAATGATTTCAGGACAGTGGTGGAGTGCCAGAGCCAGGTCCCAGCTGCAACCTCTGCAACCCTGGTAGTTCTCATGAAAATGCCAAGTATTGACATTGGTACTCGAAGTATCGCTGCATCCCTAGTTATTTTTATGTGACATGTCCCATTGGTTAAGGGGGTTGTTTTATGTTCCTAGTAACGTTTTTGTTTTTTTTTGTCTTGCAGAAGCAGATCCTCAACTCATTGAAACACTATCACAGATGCTGTCCATGGGTTTCACAGACGAGGGAGGCTGGCTCACCAGGCTACTGGAAGCAAAACAATATGACATCGGGTCGGCTCTCGATGCCATGAAGTCTGTGCGGCATCTTCCTCAGTAATAGCATCAGCGTGTTTTTGTTTCTATCATAACTCTGCCTTTCTTAGGTTGCAAAAAATTATCATTCTAAGTTGACGTTCATGCCAGAGCACTTTATACAGATTAATATTTCTTTTAACATGTAACAGATGGTGGAGACAGTCGGGTCATTATTACAAACATCAGTTTGTAAGTTCAAGCGGTTTCACTGTTCATTTGGAGTACCTCATAACAGTGATTTTTTTGTTTCTTTTTTCCTGCTGATTTGATCGGCTACAAATTATTTCTGCCCAAAGACTGTCTAATTAGAGGGGCCAAATCTGACTAACACTTTACAACTTTTGGTTTAACTAAAGATAGGTAGGTTGTTGTTTGTCATCCATCCGATATGAAGCAGTAAACTACCACTCCTGGTAACTGTTATTGGTCAGTGTCAATAAACTTAAACTGTACAACCATTTGGTAATGCCTACTCCTAGTGTTCTTACAATAAATATTTGATAAACCCAGTACTAGGGGTAGCCACCTAGAGGATAAACCTGCACGCTCTACTCATTCTAATGTGCATGTTTATGCATGTACCTTAACTGTGTGTAGCCAGCCTAAGTCTGGAGAAGCATAGGGCGCAGCCTATAATAATCCCTCCAAGTTGTTGGATGAAATTGACCCAAATGTTACTGTTGCAGCATTTGTGACCTATTTGTTTTTTAATGTGTGATGGTTTAAAAGTAGAGCTGTGAAATGATTAACTTTTTTAAATAGTATTGATAGGCTATGTTATAAAAGTACAGACCCTCTGCACCCAATTGAAATGACCAGCTGCTTACAATCCCCTTATGGCTATGAGCAAAGATTGAGCATCTTCCATTGGGTGCAATGGATGCATAAAGGAGAATTATGGGGTAAGAGAATTATGGGCTCTCGGCATATAGTGGACAATAGCCCACTGCATGCTGAGTTTTGGGTCACTGGAGGACACTGTCCTCCCGTGACCCTGAAGAGAGCTATGGGCAAAAAAGGTTGCCCCATAGTTCTCCTTTTAAGAGAGCAAAATGGATAATTCTATTTACAAAGCTGATGATTTTACTGCCCTGCTTTTACTATCAGGTCTGTCAGAACGGTAGAGTTATTCTAGAAACAGAAACAAGTAGAAACGTTTTTATTTGATTGCCTTGTACTGCACAATAACAAAGTGATTTTTGGTTTCTTACTTTTAATAAACATACTTATTGCTCACTTACTATGCAGAAATATTCGCTCCTGATGTATTCAATGTGTTAGCATATTCACGTAGCTTTATTACACTGATATGCCTCTAGAGTCATGAGAAGATGGCAGTGCTAATTTGTTGAGGTTCTGTCTATGGGAAATTATTTCAGTGTTCTGTAACAGTCTAATTGTGACATGACATCTTCTGCAATTAAAATTCTTTCCGAGCATTACACATGGCTAGCATTCTTTATTTTTATTTCCTTATCTGGGCTCAAGTGTTCCTTTCTGCCAAAGGGTATTAAAACCAGCTTTTTAACACAGAGGGTCTATTTACAAAGCTGCCGAAGGAGCCGTAGCTTCGGCTGATCCTTCGGCTAGCTTCGGTTACGGGAGGCCTTTGGTTCAGTGGAACCGAAGGGCTGCTGTACGGGCTATTCACTATAGCCCGTACAGCTCCCGAGGTTGGCCGAGCGGCTCAGTCGAGCCGAAGGCATATGCTTCTTCAACTGAGCCGAGGTGAAAGCCGGAGCATGCCATTGACCGGCCGAAAGCCTGCTACTGACAGCTAGGCGGCCACTTGCAATGACAGATCAGCGTCCCCTGGTTACTATGTAACCAGGGGACGCTGAACTGTCATGAGAGCTGAGCTGAGTACAACATAAACATAGGCTGCACGGTATACGGAGATGGGGATGTGTAAGTTTGGAGCAGCCTAATAGCCAAAAATTAAAAAAAAACAAGTTAATTTATCTTTTAGTCTAGTTTTTTTTCCTCATTTTTATTTTATTCAAACTAAGTGAGGGGTTAGGTACAGATGTGATACAATTATATAGCCCTATCTGTCCTCTAAAAACTATATATAATATGTGTGGATACATTTAGTGAGAAAGTATATTACTGCTGTGGAAGAATCACACAGCAAAAATGTAAAAAGTGTGTCGGTCATTTATGAACAGAAACTGAAAACTAGCTCAGTCATGAAGGGGTTAAACTACACAGGTTTCTTGTTTAGCAGCAGAACTCATGCTGAACAATTCATCCTAAATTGTAATTGAAAGTAAAAGAGTCATTGTAATGACGGCTCTGCGGGGCCGGCCGTGATATCAAAGCTGGCGCTGCTGAGCTCTCATTGTAATGACAGTTCAGCGTAACCAGGGGACGCTGATCTGTCATTACAATGAGAACTCGGCGGAGCCGCCGCGGTATTATGGCGGCTCCGCCGAGTTCTCTGTATAATGACAGTTCAGCGTCCCCTGGTGCAGATGGTAAATCTAGTAATGGGTATAGAAACTCTTAATACATTCTGGCAGTGAAATCACTTACTTCATTTGGGAATATAGTTGCAAAAAACAAAGTGCAGACTACCCAGTCAGTCAGTGGCGTGATAGATTTTGCTTTCTCAGTCTGCAAAAATAAAAAGTACTGTTTTTCTGCTGCTGCACATTAAAAGTCTAAGTGGTCTCCAACTGAAAAACCTCCTATACATTTTATTTCCAGTTCATTAAATACATCAAGATCATTTAGCTTTAATTTTAAACCCCCCAGCCAAATGTATTATATTTGGGGGCCAAAGATTGGGATGGATTAGAACCATGTCGTGCATTTAATGCTGTGCAGTGTGTTAACCTGTGCACATTTCTTGTTTTGGGGATACCGTGGCACACAAGATATCCTACGGACAGAAAGTGTAAATGTTTCCTCGCTATGGACAGTCAACCATAAGCCTTGACACAGGTCCTAACCCTTCAACTCAAATGAATTCTTGCTATTTTTGTCTCTGCTGGAGAGATTTCCTCTGGCTTCCTGACTCTGTTACACAGGTACTGGAACTGAGGCATGAAAATCATCCCAACCATCACAGACTGCAATTTAAAAAAAACAAAAAAACTGTTCTAAATCAATCTCACTTCATCCAAGGTTTAAAAGAAAAACAAAACTGGAGTTGGGCTGTTGTGTTGGTGCTACATGTGGTAACTGCAACCAGCTTCAGTGCAACCTACCACCAACAGTTGTTTCACTGAACTGTTCAAATCTGTTTGTAGGAGGATGCCATTTTTTGGGAATGAAGGTGGTTGATATCTGAAAATTGCCAAGCACATGATGAGTGTCAGGGTTTATAACTGGCATCTGATAAAAACGTTTACCCCAAGTAGAAGTAAGCTACTCCAAGCAAAACTGGTCAATTTTATTGTACGCTCTGCTAGGTTATTGGGTTAGGTCCATCATGTTAAAGTGACATTAAACTCAGGAGTTAAGAGAACTATGGGGTAAGTGTTTTTCCCCATAGTTCTCTTTAGGGTCACGGGAGGACATATACTAACCTCCTCCCGTGACCCTATTGCCTGCGATATACTGTAAGCGCCGCAGCCGGGACAGATCCCGACATTACTGTCGAGATCCGCCCAGCTGCGTGAGTGACAGCTGGCTCTGCCTATCTAGAGGCAGAGCCAGCTGTGCCCACCCCCTCCCCCGTCCGTTCCGCCAGTCAGTGCTGGATGACCGGAGAGGGGGGAATCCCTGCGGGCAGCGGTGACTGACAGTCACTGCTCTCTGCAGGGAGACGATCGAGAAGTGAGCAGATCATGCATGTTTCTGCTCACTTCCTGATCGATAGAGCCGACCTGTGACAGTTTGTCACAGCTTGGCTCTAAATATGAAGATGAGTGGAAATCACTCACCTCATAGATCTCCTTTAAATCTTAAAAATGCATTCAAGTACCTTCACTAACACAAATAAGATACAGCTTTGTTAATCACTTGGCTGTAGATCCTCAAATCATCTCTGAATATGAATTCAGACACTGACACTGTCCTTCCTTCTGGAGGGTGACTACTTTTGTCCACCATGGTCCCTGTGTGTGTTGTAAAGTAGCCACCACTCTAAACACACTCCTGTCATAGAATATAACGTCAATATAAATTGGCTAACTAAATGTGAGATTGTAGTCCATCACAGGAGTGAGCTTGGAGCGGTGGCTACTTTACAACACACACAGGGACCATGGTGGACAAAAGTAGTCACCCTCCAGAAGGAAGGACTGTGACGGGACCAATTCAGAGATGATTTGAGATCTACAGCTGAGTGATGCACAAATAAGATACATTTTCATTAATAGTTAAGGTGCATGAATGCATTTTTAAGATTTAACTCCTGAGTCTAGTGTCACTTTAAAAGCCAGTCTACCTAAAACAGCTTCAGTAGATGTTTGTTGGTTCATGAAATAAGTTTGCAGTAATCCATTGGCAACAACCATTGCAGAGATTACTGTTCACATAAAACTTGACTTTCCATTTAAAAAAAATGCATCAGAGAGGCAACTTTGCTGGGAACTTTCATTCTCTGGCTGAATGTCCATTAAAGAAATGTCGGTGAATAAATTCAGCTCAACCACATCTATATAGAATCTGTGTTCTGGGTGGACTGACCCTTTACATTCTATTTATTTATCCCTAAGTGCAGTTTGAGAACAGATAGAACATGACAGTTCTTGTACTGCTGCTCTGATGAGATGGAACAAAAGGTTGGGAATTGGTGATTTCCGGCCTCATGCACATAGGGTTTCACTATCAAGCTGTGTCCCTTCAGGGAGAGATGATGGAAAAACTCACCTTATAAATGTTTTCTGGAATCCATTGAGGGACACAGCTCCCTCCCTTTACATTTATCATTCTTTATTTGGACTGCCTGCTACAGCTGAGCATATATAATAATCCCCTCCCCCCTGCCCCCACAATGTAAAATAATACAATGAAGCCCCCTCACCTGCTTGTCTTTCTGCAGGGAGGAGGCGAGCAGGCAGATCTAGTGTGATTAGTAAGGTCTGCAGACCTTACTAATCACTTCGTTTTCGACCCAGAGCTCAGTGA